GGAGCAAGGAAGAAGGCCTATTTTATGAGTGAGGAATGTGATAGGGATTCATGAGAGCTACGTTTATATTCTTCTCTGGTCAGGCTCTAGACATCTTATTTAATCTTCGTGACTGAACTACCCTAATGTACAGTGTGAACGTCAGTACCTTCCCCTATTTCCAGTATGAAAGCACTTGCATATTAGACCTTTGTGGGGTTAAAAAAGACCAAAAATGTATAACCTCAGCAGAGGTTACTATAGAAAAAATATAGAAATATAAACATAAGCATCTATAAAAAAAAATGCATTGCCTAACTGACTTCCCTGTATTTTAAAAGTGCCCATATGGCTGAAACATCTATGGGCTTATACTGGATTCAGTAAGAAACATTTTTCCTGTCATACAAGGCTGCTTCCAATTAATACAGTGACTAGATGAGATATTTGATTCTTTACATAACAGAGTCTTTTATCTTCCTAATCACTTCAGTGGTAATTCACAGTTATAATGCTTGGAGGGTATCCGATTACTGGCACTAACCTTGGAGTTCAAAGTTGAGCATGAATTTTTCCTGACAAGGCACTGCAGCTAGCAAATTAATGAGTTTTGGGTGAAAAATAGTGTTTTTGCTTTATTTTCTTACACTAGCTCCCTAAAGGTTTGGATTCAAAAGACAGTGTTACAGTATGCTTCTTTTGAAGCACTTCATTTACTGAAAAATAGGCCTCCAGCAGGCTATAATTATGATCTTTTCCTCCATTTTAAATTCTTTCCCTTTGCAGATTTTCTTTGCTTTCTCACAAGTAGTGATTGGAAGCCAAGTGAATCTAATGCCATTATTAAAAAAATGTATTCTGCTACAGTGTTCCGGGCAAAAGATTGTGATTAATACAAACCCCAAACCTCCTCAAGGCCAACTGTAGATTCAACAGTATTTTTTCTACTGTGTTTCATAACATAATTCTTTTTCCACATCCTTTCTCATCTAGTGCTGGCCTTGCGTATGAAGACAATTACTTATTCAATCATACAAAGTTTGCAACTGTACAGATTTTCTTTCACATAAAGAATGTGCTGCCCTCACTATTTTGTAAGTTGGACAACTCCTAGATTTTTTCCTCTGACAGGACCTGCTCAGTTCCTGATTCTTCATATGTATTGGAGCAGAGGATATATAAATGCAGTTAAAATAAGGTCTTCCCTGCTGTCCACCTGTGTGGATGTTTTGTTCTCTCTGATGAGGTTGCAGAGCACATGCCCCAAGTTCAACAGAGAGCTATTATACTGAGAGATATTTTGCATAATTTATAATAGCGAACAAATTGAAACAGTTTAATAGTGTGTTTCTTTAAAGAACAGTAGCTTAAAAAACATTACACAAATATCTCCCATAAATCTATGGACTTAAGGAGTTGCTCTATATGCTGTTTATTTCTGGGGCAAGCAGAACACAATCAGTTCAAACTTTCTGGAATTGCATGCAAAAAAAAAAAAAAAAGTCTGCAAAACTGAAAAGGACCACCTCTTGTATAAATGGAAAACATGTCAAATTGGTGCCCTCTCACAACCAAGGGGATTTGCATCAAAGCAACCAGATTCTTGGCTCCCTTCCATTGCCTTTTACTGCTGGAGCAGTAGCGAGACAGAAGGGTGCCTTAAAGAGCCAGCAGGTCATTGGGAGCTTCTCTGTCCTTCCTCAGCATGAGGCAATGCCGTGGTTGTGTGGTACTGGCTCAACAACTCTGAGCAGATAGCAACGTATGTAGACAGACTGCCCGTTAAGAGCATGATACCTGGGAGGCATCCCCTTCACTGCATTTGGTTCTTCATGGCAAGGAGAAGCTTGTGAGAGACCCTCCAGTCACCTGCTACCTGTTATAATGGTTATAAATCTTGTTGTGATATCTGCTGCAGAAATACAAGAATGCTATGTCCTTAATCAGCAGGCTTGCAGATAGCTTAAGTGGTATATTTTCCTCTGCTCCTCCTGTCTCAGTGTGGCACGCCACTGAGTGCTGTCCGGGTGACAAACACTGCTTCAAATTGGTCCCAGTCCTGACAAGCGCTGGATTCCTCATAAAAATGAAGGCAGGAGGGCATATGCTTTCCCTTTTGGAACGTGATAAAAACAGAAGGGAGTGCAAGAAGCTGGTGCATCACTGCGTTCAGACTGTTACTATAATGTTGTTCATCAGCATGAAAAAAGAAAATGAAAGAAAAAAAGAAAAAGACGTGCTGCAGCCAAGGTGTTACATAAGTTAGAAATACCATGCCAGCATGTGCCGTATGACGTGGGGACAACCTGCGGCTACACATTTGCTCAAAGAACCTTGTTTGCAATCTCCTAATGTAAACTGAGAATCAGTGAAAAAAAAAAGATTTAGAAATACAACTTGAGGTTAAAAAGGCATCACTTACTGCAGTAAGGTGTCATTATGGAAACAGAGCTGTAAGTAAGTCTTACTTAGCAACAACCACTCCAGGGTCAACTGGAAACAAATTGCTCGGCAGAACTTCCTGCTGTTAAATTGATCTCAGAAGTTCGAAAATGAAATAAGCAGGTTAAAAACCACTAGGAAACCTGCATTCTTTTCACTCCATTAATTACTACTCATCTCGGGATGTAATATGGACTAGTCTAAAATGTACATTCATTTGAGCAAATCTTTCCTGCTCTTGTTTTTATACAAATACAAGAATATACCAGATTGTCGGTCACTTTCTGTCAAACATTACTTACAGGTCTGAAAGAGGTTTTTCTTTTAGCAAGGAAAGCATGAATTTTTTATGTGAGCATCTCTTACAAACCTTATGAAAAAGCTGTGTTTGATGGCATTTGCTGAGAATGTCAGAGTTACTGTACTTCAAAATTTTCAGTTAATATGTGTAGGAATATAGAGACACATGAGGTCTTGATTGAAAATATTGGTCTCTTCAGAGAATTTACCAAGAATGTTGATTTTGAGAGAATATTTTATAAATCAGAATTATGCTAAATGAATCTGCCTTCATAAATAGTTTCCCACTGATGTCATAAATAAAATGTAATAAACAGCATATTATCTGTTATATACATATATATATATTAATGTAAGTAAGTTTTCAAAGATATAATCTTACCTGTTGTTTACAAAGAATCACTGGAAAGTGAAAGCTGTGGGTTAGTCTCTCTCTGAATACACTTTTACATAGGGTGAAATATTTTTAATGCTTAATATGTAAACCTATGCATAGAAATGTATGCCCTTTTAAGGTCCAGTGAACAGATTCACAAGACTGACAGAGAAATACTTCTGAAAGGCCAGCAAATTACTGGCTTCTACTCCGTGTACTCCTGAAAAGCACCAATCCTGCCAAGTGTGTGTTAGGTGTCCTGCATGAAAGCAAGTATCTGAATTGAATTTCTGGTCAAGTAAGATGGAATTCATTTTACTTGACTCTGGTCATTTGAAAGATGGTTGCTTATTTTCAGCAAAGAGTCTAGTTTTCCTCTGCAGTGAGAAGACAGGGAGACACAACTCCAGAGGGCAACCTGCCCTACCTATCACCGAGACCATCTTAGGGTGGCACCGATCATCCTCTAGAGCTACCTGTTTAGGTGCTGAACTGACAGCTGGCTGGCAGTAGATCAAGTATATCCCCAAATTCCAGTCATGGTGTTCAATACACTTATCACCACAATCAGCACAGAGGGCTCAGGACAAAAATCAGCCTTTTCTTTAAAGGGAATTGCTAGGGCAAAGCAAGAGCAGTTTTAGAAATGTCACCACCCTAAACAAAGCCTGTGTTTCGGCTGGGTTAATCTACATGGCACAGCAGTGCTGCACAGGCTTAGGTGAGTTAGCCAGCTAGCTTGCACACCGAAACTAATACAGCTACATTCACTCAATTTAAGTAACTCTTTGGAAAGGATGCTGAGGCACTAATGCGCTGTACTGGAAAGATAATGGAAAGATACATAAAAATAAAATAAATGAAAAGAGCAATTAATAGGAGATCCAGTGACGAGGTAAGGTTAAGGAAAGATGATTCACACTAATTATGTAAAAATAACAGCAGTCTACGAAGGTAAGACTATGAGTGGGAGAAAAAGGGGGAATAAATGAATAGAATTAACATGCTTACGTTGCCAGAAAAAAAAACATATAGACCAGATCAGTGACTATGTTCTGTAGTCAGACAGTATTCGTATCTTCCATTAGTTAGGTCATAAGGACATTTGCACACCTCTGAGTCTGTGGAGACTCTCTCAAGGCGAGGGGTAGAGGCAATGGCACTAGAAGGCAGCAGGACAAAATCTCTCCGAGAGCAGCCAACAGCCGGCTGGCACAGGCTCGTAGTCCTTCTCATCTCTGCTGTCTCATATGTCTAGGATTTAAGGTTCAGAAAGACAGCAGCTGTTTCTGGACTCCTGTGCTCACATACTCCAAAAACAAGTCACACTAAAAGGCACTCTATAAAAGCCTTTTATATGTTTTCCTCTTTCAGGAAGATCTGGTCTCTTTCACTCACAAAGACAAAAACTCCCCAGAGTTGGGAGCTTAAGAGTCTTCATCTTCCTGACCGGTATAAAAATTAAAACACCAAGAAAACCAAGGAGCCTAGAAATTAGATCATGCAATGGGCACTAAAAGATGTTTCAAAGGCAGGTTTATGGAATCCTGGGCAATTATGGAATAACCTTTCAAAAGGGAAGCTGCTTCATCTATTAGCTACTAGTTAACTCATGCCCTGAAGCTTGTGGTTTTATGGTTACTGCATATACTCATCCTCCTACTCATAATTACAACAGGCACCACATTATATGCACAGATAAATAATCCAATAGAGTTCCAGATGAGAAAGAAATTCAGGCATTTACACTTCCAGATCAGTGCATCACTAAACTTTACGTACCTGTCTTTGATTTCCCAAAGATTATTTATCCGGTGGCTGTCCTCCTAATAAGATTCTCTTAATTCCTTAATTCTTAGAACAATTTCTGGTATTTCTATTCTTTCTCTTTGCCCTGTCTCACCCAGTTCTTGTGCTCCTCGGGGTTCTGCCTGCCTAACTCTGCCCTGGCAGGTTTTATAGCCAGTCAGTTCTTCTTCATCTCCAATCTCTACTACAAACCAGCCCCACACAGGCATTTTATACAGAAAGGGGATAGAAGCAGGAAGGGTTGAGGAGTGAAACTGAGCGTTGCCCACTTCCCCTCGCAACATTTTCTTGTGCAAGTGGCAAGGTGGAGGGGAACACTGACACCTGCACAAGAACGGAGAGTTTGGGCAGGCCACATTCTAGGGAGAACATCATAAAACCCCCTGTATCTTCCAAAAATTAATAAGATGATAGACCTTCAAGCAGGAAACGGAAAGCACGCCTAACAGAACTAATATGCTGTTGAACACTATATTGAGCTCTGGTCCTTGAATTAAAAAAAAAAAAGATAGAGAGAGGGGGAAGGAAAAAGGCTACAAGCATTACCAGAAGGATAGGATTAAGCCATACTTTTTCCATCTTAGGAAAAAGCAGACTTCTAGAGGGGACCATAAATGTAACAGATGTACGAATAACATGGAGGAAATGAATAAGGGATGTTTATTTATTATTTCTTTTAATGCAAACACTGGGACACCAGATGAAATTAATAGGCAGAATTTTAAACACAGAAAAGAAAGCACCTATTCAAAGAGTATATAATCACAGGCCAGTAACATGGACACACTGCAAAGTCAGTAGACAAATTCTTTAAAAAGAGGCCAAAGTCCACCTGTGTCCCCCTGGAGACACTATACTATAACCATTATATGCTATAGCGGATACCACCACCAGCTCACGAGGTCCCTACATATAGACTTCTGGAAGATGGAAAAGTACTCAGAGGACAGCATCACTTTATACTTTTCCTATTTTATTTCCATCGGTGTCCCTTGTTGCCTGTTGCCAGAGAAAAAAATAATGGACTAGATGAACCTTTTGAAATTCAGACTTGCTCTCTTGATTAAAGAGCCTCCTGTTACACTCAATCCCAAGCGCAAAGACGAGTCTGCTGCATATAGCTCCCCTCTGGAATAAGCCCTTATCTACTCCTTCACAGTTCCCTGCACCACAACCATTTTAGAGAAGGAGAACGCGCAGCTGTGTAGCTTAGGTAGCTGCATGTACGACCTAATAGCTCGGATCCACACGGTACATTAGCACTGTGAAGCTGAGGGCTTCTGGGGTTAACTTTTAAGAGCCTGACCCTCCAAATGGAATTTGGAGTTAAGTTGCGTTACGTGTCAAAGCTCCAGGCTCCTTAATCTTGTCAAAAATAGAGGTAAGCCAGAGTGTGCACAGAAGCAGGACTTGGAAATTTAGGTAACTTTCAGGCTGACAACTAATTCAGGTATATAGGAGTGTTAGGCAACATTAGGGTCAGATGATGGTACTGCTGTATTCCTTACAAGCAATACTCTTAGACTTCAATCACCCCCAAAACAACACTCTTTTCTGCAATATGTTGTTTTTCCCCTGAAGTCTTTTTTTTTCCTCCTATACAAATCCTCCTTAAGTAATCTAAATAATTCTCTTTGACCAAATCCCATTTTGTTTCATGACTCAATTAGGAGTTTGAAGTTTGACTGGAAAGTTTGAGAAATTAGTGTGTTCTCATAGAATATTTAAAGTTCTTTGGCAAACAAACAAACAAAAGCAAGCCGCAAGATCCCCTAATTCAGTTCTGTGTCTTTCAGTAATTGGCAGTGATCTCTGTTTCTGTCACATACATCTTAAAATTTTCCACAACAGGTGATAATCTCAAGTCCCTCTGTACTCAAACATATGGCGAAACCAGTGCAAAATAACTTTTAAGTGGATCTTTGATATAAGAAAAAAAAAAACATCCTGGCAAAGGGTCCTGTGACTGGCTGAGAAATTCAGGCATGTGCAGTCTTGTTTTATTAGTTTGTTATGTATACTGTACATAAAATAAGTTAGTAAAATGTGATGAAAAAGTAATTATAAAAATACTAACAAAATAAATTACACAGAAAAACTTGGTAATGGTTTTCTAAAAATACTGTTGTGCTTGCACAGAATAATTCTGTGCCAATATGTTATGGAAAAGAATTAATGATAACAAATGGGCAATTTACATACTGCAGTTTTTCATACCAAAATGTACTTGTTCACATTTTGAGGAACCCACATCAATGGCATTAATTTGCTGAGCCATCCTGCTAACTCTACCATAAATCAGAATTTTCCATGCATCATTAATAATCATGATCATAAACTAATAATTAGCATTGTTGATTTAGCTACTCCCACTGCATGTGGTCAGGCACACTGTGATCAAGTTTGTACAGCTCATGCAGTGCAAGTTGATCTTACTCTGAAACTTCTGTCCAGAAATTTGCAGCTTGCCTGAATGCACCTAATCTGGAAGGACTCAGGCTGCGGGATAATTAACACATCAGCTCTGGCTGACAGGAGAGGATACAGCTGTTGAAAGAATTAACGTCTCCAGGTGCAACAGTTTCAAATAAGCTAGTGTTTACTTTCACTCCTCATCTCAGCTGGTCACAGTTCCCACTACATCTACACAAGGCTATTCAGATCATTCACTTCCACTTATTTTAGGCATCTAATTCAATGAGAATTAAAAACTGAGAGCATTGGTTCCTGGTATAAGTAGTGCAGAGAGACAGCACCTGCAGACAGAGGTGCAGAGGACTCAGGTGTGGTGCTCACATTCAGCAGATGGCCCCAACTCTGAGCTCCATCAAGCAACTCAGGCTCACAAAGACACCCTCTGGAGCAGGTGGGGATTTTGTTTTGCAGTGCTGCTTGCCTAGAGTGAGATGACTCCCCCCTTCAAGCAAGTGACTCCTGTATCATCAGGTTTTTTCAAACAGCAAAGCAAGACCCTGGGGAACACAGTGAAAGCCCGCTCAGGGATTACGGGGATTCAGGGATTACAAAACGCCCCCACGTTAGGAGCTCAGCGTGTCTGCTCCGTGATCTGCATCTAGTGCCAGAGGCTGGGAGGGCAGCCGAGATGGGAGGCACCTCCAGCACTTCCTGCAGAGATCACGGTGAGCCAAGCACGTGCTACTGTTGTCCCAGTTGGGACCTGCTCGGGGCTGAAGGCTCTCTGAGATGCGAATGAAGGCCTCGGCAAATGCGGCTCCTCATCCAGGAGCATCGTGTCTGCAGCACAGTCTGGGCTCTGCCCTCGAGCACTGAGCTGTGTGGGGCTGCACGGCCCAGCCCAAGGGAGGGAGGAAAGGAGCCACGGGGTGTGCAGCTAACGCGTACTGTCTCTAGCTATACTGCTGCGTGCAGTTGAGCTTTATGCTATCTTCTGCACAAGCATATCTGCACACACAAAAGGAATTGTACTGACAAAAAACCTAATGAATCTCGCCCATAATGAAAATGCAAATATGGAAGAACTCATAAAATATTGAGTTAAGGATCTTTTTTTTTCCAACTTTTAAAAATTTTTCAGCTTTAATCCGCACGCACCAAATTATACTTTCTGATTTTATTCTAAAATAACAATCACAGCAACCATGCTGTATTCTATAATCTTTCTTTTTGTAGGTAACTTATTAAAGGTAAAAATTTAAATATGATCCTATAGTTTCCAAGATAATAATAGTACATGACATTTTTCTAAGCGCCAAATCTCAAATACAAAATTAACATTGAATGGCTGATAGGAGGTATTTATCGGCATTGCCAAGTAATTGGAACTAGGAGATCTTATAGTGAGGAAGACAAGTGTTGACAGAATGACAGAATAAGAAGTGTTGATACATTTCAATGTTTAAAAAGCTTAATAAAATGTTTAAAAATATGTAACTCTAAAAATGGTTCGTAGACTATCATTCAGCACAATCAGTTGTAAATAAGATTGCTGCTATTACGAATACAAAGTTGAACTATTTAGTTCTCATAATTCTATTTCTAGTGTCCTATATGTATTCTCTGTGTCTGAAATGTCTATATTATACAATCAATTTACATGTTTAAAGAGGTTGCATATGTACAATGTTACCAAGCCATCTAAACTTGTTCTCTCATTAAGGTAATAAGTGAATGCAGTACTTTTTTCCTCTATGAATAATACATGTTTACATATAAAGCAGGGCTGGGACAAAAGCATTCTCAACATAAGTCAGGTTGCTATGTTTCTCATTTTGGACTTTTTAAAACAATACTATTTTTTCTCCCCCTTTCCGATTAGAGCATATGAAAGCTGGGGTAGTGTTAAAATAAGTAAATAATAAATAAATAGGATTTGCCGGATTCTCGGTAATATCCGAGAGCGGGCGCTCTTGCAGGGCCCCTCGGCCGCGCAGGCCGGCAGCAGCCGGGCCCAGTCGGCCCTCACAGCCATGACACCCTGGCGACCCCGGCGCGGCCTCCGCTGCTGCCCCCGCTCGGCGGAGCCCCCTGACGCAGGGGCTCTGCTCCTGCCTTGGAGCTGCTCTGGGAGGACCACAGGTGTTGGGGGGACTCTCGCAGTGCGGCTGAACAGCTCTACAGACAGCTGTGACCTCATGGAGATGAGTGAAAACGCCATTTTGTGAACCCCACGGGCCTACCGACATTCTCTGAAAGCGTCAACAAACACAAGGTTAAGGGAGACGTGTTTTGAACACAGGCTACCTGGTTTTACAGGTGTTGGTTTGGACTGGATTTTGATACAGTGCCTCACCAAAAAGTCTTACAAGGGGAAAAACCTTTGCATGGGTATGTAAATGGTTAAAGATGGAAAACAGCAGGTAGGAATAAATGGATCCCTTTTTTTTTTTCCAGTGGAAAATGGTTACCAGGAGCCTCCTGCCAGGCATTTTTCTGTTCAAAATGTTCATAAATGGTCTGATATGAGAAAGTCTGCTAATCTAATCAGGGTAATAAAAAAGGAGGACTAACTGTGAAGAACCATGGAAGGACTTTATGAGATTGACTGGCTGGATAATAAAATGGCAGATGAAATTCAGTGTAGCTGAGCAGAGTGAGACACATGGGAAAAGAACCCCTTAATTTCATAAGCAGAATGAGCTCTGAGCTGACCATTCCCACCCAGGAGCAAGATCTTGGAGTTATAATAAATAGATCTACAAAAATGCCAGCTCTGTGCTCAACTGTGATAAAAAGATTAAATCAAATGGAGGGGATTACAAAGAAAGAAATAGAGAACAAAACAGAACGTAATCCTGCCACAAAGTAAGCCAACGCTTCAACCACATTTTATATACTCTATCTAGTACTGGTCCCTGATTTCAAAAATGATATAGTAGAACTCGATAGGGTTCAAGAAAGAGCTAAAATAGTAATATACATCAAAGGTGTGGAGGGACTTACACCAAAGTGAATCCCAAACAGATAGGGTCTTTGCAATCTGAAAAGGAATGACCAAACGGAATACAAAGAAAGTTGAAATTATGAGTGACATGGAGAAGGTAAGGAGTGTCAGATTATTGCTTCTTCCAGCACAAAGACTAGTGAGCATTGAGCGAAGTTGGTTCCTAATAAAATCTGAAATTAAACTGCATAAATTCCTGCCAAGGGATGGTTTTTTAATGTTTATTGAGCAATAATTTCTGAAATTGCTGAGGGTATGGCTGAGGGTATGAGGTAATTGACAGGGTATGGCTGCTGCCTGATTTATTTTTCTATTTATCTACTTTTTTATTTAATAGCCTGATAAGTAGTTTTATTATGGTTTATTCTTGCTTTTTATTTTGTTTTTTGGTGGTGATAAGCCTGGTGTCTTCTCACCGAATGTGCCGCATATGCTTAGGGAAACTGTTTGCAACTTGCCCATCGCAGGTGATCCGCACAATGTGTGGCACTGCCAGCCCTTCTCAGGCATGCTGCCTTCATTCAGCAGAGGAGAGGCTACTTGCACATATTCAGCAGCTTTTTTTTGCAATGAGGTAGCCGGTTTCTTGTGCGCTGGCAAAGTGCTGACCCCTCATGAAGCCACAGGAGAGAGACACACAAGCAACCTGAGGATGCGACACAAGTACGGACGCTTGGGCTGGACGTCGTGCACGTTACAGAGTCACTTCCCACATGGTTAGGAGGCTGAGGCTGTGCCTGCCTCCACAGCAAGGTCATTAGTGCACGCCTGCGCCTCGCAGAGCCTGCTGAGCACTCGCGATAGAGCAGCCCAACAGAAGGGGAATTGGATCCCTGCACCTGGGATGCTCCCTGTGAGAGGCTCGCTGGGCTCCTCAGGCTCGGGCCAGGCTCCCTGGAAACTCCTGAGAAAGGAGCTTCTCCTTTTGGACAAGCTGCTCTGGGTGGTCAGGAACAGCAGGAGTTTGTTCTGCGCCGCTGGCTATCCCTGTTTGGGGCTGAGGGCGCGAGTTGAGTGAGGGGAGATGCAGAAAGGAAGAGACTCTAAGAGACTATTGCTGTAGCAAAGAAGAAAAAGATCCCATTGAGAGAAGCACTGCAATTAAATCCATGGAATATTCTTAGGTAATTAACTAGCTGTACTGTAAAAAGGGGAAACTGCAATATTTGTTAGCTCATTTGAGAAGGTTGTCTCAAACACACCTGCACTGCCTGTAGACTTCGTATAATCAGGCAAATCCAAAGTTGATGCTGAAATTAATACACCACTGCATTGATCTTTTTTCTTAGATCTCAGAGCAGCAGAGGCATTACTTTGTTTAAAGTATGAGTTATTCTCCTTTGCATGACTGACTTGGTTAAGGAACTGAGCACTGTCTTAAGTATCATCACTACCAAAACAGCAAGCATCTCAATGAATGAAGATGGGACTGGGCTGAAAAACTCATGTGAAAAGATTTAATACTTAATAAATTTTGCATAGCGCAGTTAGTCTGAATGTAAATCATACAACTTTGAATGCTCACTATCTCCACGCCGCAGTACATAAAATAAGCACTATCTAGTCTGCTTCCACAGGTCAGGAAAAACAGTAAGAACATTCTGGCTACTGATCAAAACCAAAAACATTTAAGAGATCAAAACCCTCTCATTTTAGCTCTGGCTTCAGAGCGGCTGAAGCATCTTGCAGCTGAATCAGAGACCTGGGCTTAAGCGGTGCTGCCCTATCTGTGCCCTATCAGCACCGCACAGGCTGCGGGGCTCTGCATCACCTGTGCAAGGGCTGACTGTTTTAGATATATCTGTCTAGAAATCAAGGCTCTTCGGTGTGTGTTTTTTTTTTTTTTCAATCTGAAAAATAAAAATATAATAGGCAGCTCCTACAAGGCATTGCATTTTGTGACTTCACTTCCACATGTGCATTTACTGGAAACTATGTTTATAACGGACAGATGTCTCCTAGCATGTTAAAAAATACCACGCCAAGCCATCATTTTATCATGATTCAGGCTTTGCTCATGATTGCAGTACTATCACGCAGTAACGAAAGAAGACAGAAAATTTATCTGAATTGTCTTATTCAGGGGTAAGAAATAGCAGTATGAGTGCAGAGATATGCCAGATGCGTTCAGTGAAGTTTTACTGAAGCACTGAAAAATTGTTAGAGATCATCTAAGGTCTGAACCTGAAGTCCAATGTGTACTTGTGAAAGTCTGTATGCATTATTTAAAATGTGTGAAGTCATTGCGACACAAGAAG